GGAGGATGCTCTAAACTTTCGAACTTTGAGAAAGAGCGCGCAGGCTTAACAGGCCGATTAAGTATTCACTTTTCTGCTCTGGGCAGCCTAAAGTTGGAGTTAACGAAGCATGCGATGTGTGTTGTCACACGGCACATGGAACGGGCAGAGTGGGAAGTCTGTACCTCCTGAGTGCCTCAGCCAGTGGGCAAAGGGAGAGGGTTTCATGCAGCCGGGAAATTGGGATAGAAGGAGGAAATTGGAATAAAATGAAGCTGCGTCCTCGGGCAATTTGAGAGACCTCACTGGGCCTTGGCAACCCTGGTGAACTCTCCTTTTATTCGAATAAAGACAAGACTGACCTCCCGCAACAGGATTTGCTGTGCACCCCACTTTGTCGCCTGCCAGCAGCTACGCCTCTGCATGCCAGGGCTACCCAGGCGGCTCCATGGCAAGCGTGATTTGAGAGACCTCACTGGGCCTTGGCAACCCTGGTGAACTCTCCTTTTATTCGAATAAAGACAAGACTGACCTCCCGCAACAGGATTTGCTGTGCACCCCACTTTGTCGCCTGCCAGCAGCTACGCCTCTGCATGCCAGGGCTACCCAGGCGGCTCCATGGCAAGCGTGGGGAGCAGGTCAGCAGCCAGCACTGGTGCAGACTGGTCCGGGCCAGAGCGCTTTGCTGCTTTGCTGGGGGTTGCACGGGGCCTGGACAGAGCGTTTGCAGAGCTGCCAGCCACCAGGGCCCCAAGCCCCTCGGCAGCTTTGGGCATCTCTTCTGGCCTCTCTGGACTCCGACATACAAGGCAACCTTCTCTCATCTCTGCTTGCCTCTAGATGACGAGCGGAGCAGCGATGGCGTTCCAGCTTCTCAGCTGGATGTTGCCTCGGAGCCCTTGGGGCATCCTGAGGGTAATTTCTCAGCATCCCTGCCCTTGAAAAAAAACACCTTAACAACGTGGCAAGAGCTTAGTCCACGTGCAATTTTCCTTCAGATCCTGTCATAGAAGATCAATTTCTGTCATGGAGCGCTCTGGACATCGAGAGCGAGAGCAATGCCATGGGTAAGTCAGGGGCAGGAAGGAGCATCTGTCTTCTTTCCCGGTGAAAGGCCAGCTGCTCGTCGTGCGAAGACGTGGAGAGAAGCAGAGCCGAGCGGGTCAGGCTCAGCGAAAGCCCCGGGTGCTTTGCATGGCAGAGCTGTCTTGGCAGCCCCTTGGAGCCTGAGCTGCTCCTGCTGCTGAGACCGTGGGCTTGGTGGGTTTGAGTCACTCTGATCTGAAGACGCACCTTGAACCGTATCCCGGGAATGGCTCTGTTGTGTGCTTCCTTACAGCAGTCCCTGTCAGCGGAGGTGATTCAGCTTCCCAGCTGGGTCCCAGGAGCGAACCTGCAGGAGATGGTGAGGGTACGGGCTGGCTTCTTCCTCCCTTTGCAAGCCGCCAGCTCAGAGCCCAAGGCTCAGCCAGCCGGGCGCCTCTGTGCGTGTGCCCTCTCCTTGCGGGATGCCCTCACCGCTCCTGCGATTCAGCGCCGCCCATGGAGATCACCCGCAGCTTCTCCTGGCTCTTTCATTGCAGATGTGCCTGCAGGTGGACGTCTCCCAGCTCCCTGGGAGCAAAATGCCCCGGCATTTGCTCGAAACCTTGGCCCTGCCTGTGGCAAGTGCTGCCTCCCAAAAATGCCACCTCCCTCGTGGGGAATGCTTCCATCTGATGCGACTGTCCTGCTCTCCTTCTCCAAAGCCAGTCCAAGACGCCGAGGCAGATACAGAAGGCAGAGCCTCACCGCCAGTCTCAAATGAGGAATCGCAGGGGATGCCAAGAGGCGGCCTGCCAGGTAATTGCTGTCCCGTGGTCACATGGTTTCACCCATCAGGACCGGGTTGTCTCTATCAACAGGCCCTTGCCCCGGTGCCTGCTCTTGCTGAGCTTCAGAGCCAGCAGTGCCCGTGCTGGAGAAAGAGCAGAAGGGCAGGGCAAGGCCTCTGCAGAGGGGGAGAGCTCAGGTGGCTCCTGAGAGGGGATGGTTGTTGTCCTTGTTCCTCCAAGTAGCCAAGGAGCTGCGCTCCTGCCACACTCTCCTGCCCTCTGGAGTTTGGTTCCGAGGGACAGCGTGTCCCAAAGGGTGGCAGCGTGCGGCCAGGCACCAGCACTGGGGGAAATGCAGAACTACTGGTCGTAGCCAACATGCTGCAAGGTCACTGGTCGCACACAGGACGGAATAACTTTCCAAACTGCTCCTCCAGATCCATTCAGCGAGGGAACAAGCGTTCTGTGTCCTCGAGACGTACGAAGGCACTGCACGGTCACCACAGCAGTGCTCATGATTGTCATCCCAGCTTTGGTTGCCAGGATTTATTTCTATTGCTATTGGCGGAGAAAGAAAAAACAGCGCTGTGAATTTTTGCCCCCTCCACCACTTCCCCCACGGCTCAGCCTGTGGTGGTGAGCCTTGCAGGCTCTGGGCCGTGCTGGGCAGGAGAGTCCTCGTGTCCCACCTGCAGCTGAGGCTTGGTCAGCGCTCAGGCTGAAACCCATCGGGTGCTCAGCCGACCCCTCTTCCCGCAGGGCTCTTTTGGGAGCTGATTATAGCACCAGCAGAGAGACCTTGAACCACATCCTTCGCCACTTTAGTCAATGAAGCTATCACCAGCAGCTCCCTCCTCGAAAACCAGTGCATCCCACAGCCCCTGTATCCCTCTGCCCAGGGTGGAACCGGCCCAGCACTCACCATTCCCAATCCAAACAGCTCTTCAACCCCAGCCCTCCAGCTCCACTCCCCACCAAGCACACACTATGCACCCCACCTCTGCCCCCCACCCCTCGGGCATCACCCCTCTCCTCCGACTTCTATTAATAAACTGCTTGGTTTGGGGCTGGAGATGAAAGTGCTCTGTGTTATCATAAAAACAGGTCAACAGCTCCTGCTGGGCAGTTGTTCCCTCAGGCTGTGGCGCTGTAGCTACAGGATTTCTGTCAGCAGTTATAAAACAAGCTCCAGCACCCCTGGACAGCGCAGAAGTGCTGGAACCTGCAAAGCAGTTCCAGCTGCACCTACTACCAGCAGCTGCTGCTCCTGTCTGGAAAACCATCATGCGTGCCCTCCCCTGTCCCTGCCCCTGTCCCCAGCCACCCAGATTATGTGGAACCACCCCAGAATCCCTCAGCTTCAACTGAAACAGCCCCTAGTCCAGTGCAGGAGATGGTGACTGGAGCCCAACCTGACCAGCTGCATGGACTGGTGAGGGTTCGTAGGGTGAGAGAACATTTACTGGAGCAGGATCATCTGGCCACACTAATTAATGGGCCCCCAGTACGCCCTAACTGATGGGCCACCAGTAAGTGGCAGGTGCTGCGAAGTACCTCCACATCTGGGTGCTGAGCCTGCTCCCTGAGCGAGGCTTTTGCTGCCTTGGGAGTACCAAAGGGGTGAGCAGCCCGCAGCCTGACCGGTGTGCCAGAAAGCTGAAGCTTTGGTCAGAGTCCAGCTGTGCTGCCAAGGCTGCTGTTCACAAAGCAAACCACACACTTACAACCAAGGTCACTCATTACTACAGATCATTACACCAATTTAAACCACAGTGAGGCTTTTTATACCCCAAGAAACACCAGGAATTGGTGCAAACTATTCGGAGTTGCCAGACGTAGTAAACTGAAATAATTCCTTGGGAAACTAAGACACTTGCAAACGCTTCTCAGTATTCCTAAGCTAAGGTGCACCAGGCAACGTTAAACCGCTTGTTATGTCGCCTCTCTACAAAGCTGCTTTCGTGTACGTGATTTACACAAAATATGTTACCTTCAAGCGTACTTACTTTAGGATGATTCTGCCAAAGGGCCTGTTTGGATCTGAATTTGCTACATAATCATCTAACAGTCAAAACGTGTAATTTATATTATTTTTAGCTGGTCTATTTTTAAATATTAGTCATTTATGGTACTGAATAGAAGTATTTTGGGAAAGGACACATTCTTGTTTAACTCCTTACATATATCAAACTGGATAAATTGTTAATCCTGCAAACTGGCACTCCAGCCCAAATCCTAAAGCTGTAATCAAAAATGGCAGGTACAACAACATCTCATTTCTTTTCTGGCTTTTTGGATAAAAATGCCTCTACAAAGTGTATCGCAGATATGATTTGTATTGATTATATTTTCAGTACTATTATGTTACAGTTATTTAAGCAAGTTTTTGCTGAACCGTAAGTACAAACAGAATTATATCCTTATTGAGGTTTGATAATGAATTGTTTTCTCAGTAAGAAGTTTAGCTAGTAAAATTTTACTCTTATTCAAAAGACTTAAAATGCCAAAACCGACTTTCTAATAAAAACACTTTAAAGCTTTCTTCTCCAAAAAAACGGTCTAAATTAAGGCCTTGATAAGTTAACACTCAATACACTTAATTTACTCCTCTACTGCAACATCTCCTAGAAACACATTGATGACAATTATTTAAGAGATCTAAAGGAAAAAATTACCCGCTCTCAACAGTAGACCTCAAGATCTGTTCATTACTACTCTTAGTCTTATTTTAACATTTCTAAAAGGAAAAGAAGTTTAATAAGCACAGTCAATATTTATTTTCCGTAAAGTAAGAACATTAATGTAAACAATACGTAGCCCATAAATATTAACTCAATCCTTTAAGTCTTTGCGTACCATGGCACTGAATTTATGGCAGCTGTGTAACCCGAAAATCACGTTGCCTGCAAATTACAGAGGTTTCTAGATCAATAAATACCTGTGAAAACAAGAGAAGAGTTCACAATGTAAAAAGCAGAGTACCTGAAACCGAATGCTACAGTACAGTCACACAGGAGCTGTTCTTTGGAACTCTGCCAACAGAGCAACTGTCACTAAAACTCCTTCTAAAAAACCAAAAATGTTTTGTTAATAACTACTGGTACCTAAAATTAGGTAAATCATGCCAGAGAGCACAAAGTACAGTAACTGGAAAATGCAAAATAACTTGGTAGGCCCATCTAATTCTTCAACATGGCTGTGCAGTAATCAGGAGGGATTCTCTCTTCCTTCCTTAAGCTTCCTTCTCTTCTCTTCCAGTGTTTGTTTAAATACTTGTTTCAAGGTACTGTAAACGTATGGTCCATTTTCAGAATCGAAGCTTGTCTAATAAAGGGGAGAGATTGAAGATTAGTTGTTAAATAGATATTGCACAGCAAAATACAGAGTAGACAACCAACATTTTAAAAAAAACAACAACCCAGTTTTAGGATTTATCAAAGCAAGTCTCTCTTTCCCGATGGAGTGTTTTGAATTGTATGCTGACTAGGCATTAAAACAAACGAGCAGGAGAAGTGTCACAACTGTTTTAACAGGCGACATGTCTGTAGATTGTCAAGGGATTAGGAAGCAGTTCAGCAAACATTCTGTTCAAATAACTTCACCTGCTGAATCTAAGACAGCAGCTCTGCAATGAGCAACAGCAAGCTTAACCTGTCACTGTTATTAAGTGACTCCAAAAGACACAAGTTATTGACACACATCCTATATTAAAGGTCTGAAACATAACTGAATTGCAAGACAATTTCAGAATGTGATTGAACCTGACAGAAAGACTCCAAGTAGCACAGAATCTACCGAAACCTTTGGTAAACTACTGCCAGTGACTCATTCTCATCACTGAAAAACTATCTTTTTTTGAACAAGTCCACGAATTGACCGTGATCTAGAAGCAGAAAAATGAGACTAAAAGATTAAGGCTGTAGGGCCACAATTTAATACTTCCTACCCTTTATGTAGCTGATAATTATAAAATGTAAACTCTGAAACAGATAAGCACAAGCACACCATTATGTGGAAGAATTACTGCAACTTTTCTCACAGAGGCCTGATCTGTTGACCCACCCTTCATGATTTAAAACAGATGAATACAAAAGGTTACTTGCCTTAGTGAAAGCTTTAATAGCTCGAGCAAGTAAGGCCTCCTCCACATCGGCTGGTAGCGTTTGCAAGCTCACCACACAGTGTAAAATACAAAGGATAGTCTGACACTGCTCCTGGTGGGTAAAAGGAACAGCGAGCAGCTGATGAGAAGAAAGATTTTCATGAATAACATTTAACTTCCAGCTTTCATTAAGTGGTGTTTAAATGTCAGGCTGTGTCTTCCTGTAATGAAACCTTCAGGTGCAGGAGTCAGTGAGGGAATCTTCGCAAGCCTCAAAAGCTTCTACATCATCTTTTAGTCGTGATGAGAGAAACTCTTCCCCTGCAGTGTGCCACAAACTGCTCTGGACATTTCTAGGAGATCAGGCATGCATCTGGAGACTTATTTTTCAATGTACCCTAAACAAACAACAGTATTCGTGGGAACTGGCACAGAAAAAGCGAGATTTGATCTTTTCTGCCAAAAATGTCATTCAGGTTTAAGGCTCTTTCTCCAGCTAATGTGCTATTCCTTTCCCATTCATTTAGAACAAGTGACAAGCAAGGGTTTTTTTTATTTAATATAAATAGAAAATTAAAACTCTGATAGAGCAGAAGAATGCTTCAGGAAGAAACGTGATGTTTTTAGATGAACTTGAGAATTCTAAATGTCATGTCATGAAGATGGTGACTGCACATAAAGCTCTGACCACCTGTTGATTAGGAGCTGTATTCTTGATATCTGGAGGCTGTTGAAAAGGGCCCTATTTTCTTCATAACAAAGAATTCCCAAAGAATTCGGAAATTAATTTGTGTAATTAAGAGATCAAGAATAGACAATTTTACTTTTTTTTTTTTTTTTAATTTACCTTGCATCTAGCCCTTTAAGGAAAGCACAATTAAATGGTTTGGATCACAAGTACCTGTTTTTCATAGGCATTTCAGAATACAGATGGCCACAGGTCTGACTTATGTAGAAGAATGTGGCCCAGCTTCTGACTCCTTGAATTGGCAAATTCTTCCTCTTCCTTGCCCCAGTCCTCCCAAAGCTGATGGGTTAAGATGTTTGCAGAGAAAATATGACAACCACTAAGCACAGCTGGCAGATGTGACATTAGGTTTCTCAACTTTGCCCCTGGGTCTCAAACTGCAGGGAAATACACTGAAGACGAATGTCTACTGAACGGCACTCCAAGACAGTATCTGGTATTTTCCTTATAATATTCATCCTCCTAGTATCGATTACAACTCATACTATTGAATGCCAAAATAATCCCCATGCTGATCTTTAAAGAGACTGCCTCTTTAAAGTGTAATTCCCTTGCCTAAAGGCCATAAACAAATAGTTCATCACATATTAACAAAATGTACTTGGCAGTGAAAGAAAGAATGGACACATATATCTACCTTTCTCAATAAGCAAAGTGCATCCTCTGATTCTGTGCATTTTTTTGCCAGCATGTCGATATCATCTTGGGATAACACCGGTTCTTTCAGCTGCTCTACCCAGGACCACATCAAGCTACAGAGGATAAAAGGATCTCTCTCGGTACATATTTTATCCCAAGCTCCATCTCGAGAATTCAGTTCTTTCTTAAAAAAAACAAAACAAAATGACGCTGAAAATGTGTCACCTATTTACTTCTGCCAACATCCTCTCTGGTTATAGCAGTGCTTGCCTGCTTATATTTCAACAAAATAGAGAGACTTAAGAGTTAGGAATAAAGTAATTCTATTTTTTTTTCCAAAGCATCAGCATTAACCCGCAGTAATACAAGTGATTCTTTAAAACAGAAGGATGACAAAAAACTGCAGCTCCCAATTAGCCACCAGAATACATAAAACTTCAAAGCAAATGTTGCTAGGAAGACTTGGTTTTGAGGCTAAGCAGTTAAGCTTCTAGTAAATTCTTCCACTTTTACACCAAGAATCCTCCGATTAGTTCTGAGAACACACTGACTAAAACCAATACAGCTTTACCTTAAAACCTGTGGTACTTTTATGCTACTAGCAGCCAAGCTACCACCAGAGATAACTGCATCCATTTTCATTCGTTAGCAAAATGAATCAACACACCCGGAAAAAATTTTCTAACCTCCTTCCAGAGGGCGTGTTGTTGCTTTTGAAAGAAATCTTCCAAACTGACATATACAATCATTTACTGAACCACAGTACAAACCAGTGGCCCAGCGTGCCCTTTCAAAGGACACGGTGGCATTTTAGCCATTCCAGGAATTAACCTAAGTGGAACATGCAGAGCCCGTAACACTGAATCAAGTTTAAAATTTACCTGCCACATTTCGACTTTCTGCTTCACTTCATCCTCTCCCAGAAATTCATTTATATCTGCAAGCGCTTTTGCTGCCAAAACTCTTCGGGCTTCCAAACTTAATTCTGACTGCAGAACAATGTGTGGAATTGACTCTGTCACATCTTTGCTACCTTGGCTTTCACATCCAATGGAAAACTTCGCTGTGGAAGACGACGAAGAATCAGAGTTCTCTGAGACTCTCCTGCCATATGTATTAGTTTTGTGGCTTTTTCTATGAGCGATCTCATTGGCAAAATGATGCCTTGGTGTTCCAGGTTCCCTGGTATTGTGCATTGATGCTAGACCTGACGAAAAGGTTCTGCTGCGTTGTACTTCTTTGGTAGAGTTCCTTCTGTGATAAAGCGAGGATCCATCTTTCCGTCTATCCAAATTAAATTTACCTTGACTCCAGAACATGCACGTGTTACGTACTAAGGCTTCTTTGTTTAAATCCAACTGTGGGTTTTGTTCGCCTGCGGCAGAACATTCCTCACCACTGTTCTGCTTATGTTTGCTGCACGCTAATATCTGAGTAGGTACAGTCCACGCAGTCTCTCCTTGTTCTAACGAAAACTCCGTTCTCCTTAAATCTGAGTCACTATAGCTCAGACGCCTTTTCAGATGAGTAAGAGGCTGAAGGCATTCGACATTGCTTCTTTTCCAAAGAGGATCACATTCATGTCCCATGGAGAAAAAGGAATCTTGGTTCTCAAAAGTGGATGAGTGGGTGTGGGAGGAGTCTGACGTGTCACTGTCCTGCCTCGAGAGTTCGCTATCCAGCTGCGTGGACACCAGCTGAGAAACAGTCTCCTCGATTTCAGCTGAGAGATCCGGTATATCCAACAACTCCGCTGCTATCACTTGTCTGTTTTCGGCCAAGTCGAGCAACAGCTTGCACACCAGATGAATAAGTTTTGGCACGTGTTTGAGATGCCTACTCTCATAGCCGTGGAGCAGATGTCTCTGACGGGTCAGGTACTGGGACAGAGTCACTCTATGTGCCTTGGGCTCGCAGCACGCAAATACGTTTCTCAGCGGAACCAAAAACTGAGTGAATTCTCTGATGCACAACAACTGCCCTCGAGTCTGAATTGAATTAGGCCTTTTGGCTCTGACGAAAAGAATTGCTTGGTCGGCACTCATTCTTGTCGCAAAAACTAAGTAGCAAGCTATTAGAACTCCTGGAAAATACGAAGACAAGCATTAGAGGAAGAACAATCAGACTAACATAAATACTCAGTAGAAGTACAGGGCACAAATGAATAGAAGTTAAGATACAGGCTTACGCACTCTATGACATAGAATCATAGAATTATGAAGGTTGGAAAAGACCTCCAAGACCATCAGGTCCAACCGTCAGCCCAGCAGAACCATAACCACCAAACCATGTTCTGAAGAGCCATGTCTGTATGTTTTCGGAACACCTCCAGGGATGGTGACTTCACCACTGCCCTGGGCAGCCTGGTCCAACGCTTCACCACTCTGCCAGTACAGAAATTTTTCCTAAGATCCAATCTAAACCTCCCCTGGTGCAACTAGAGGCCACTTCCTCTCGTCCTATTGCTTGTTACTCGGGAAAACACACCAACATCCACCTCAATACAACCTCCTTTCATGAACTTGTAGAGAGCGAGGAGGACTCCCCTCAGCCTCCTCTTCTCAAGGGTAAACAACCCCAGTTCCCTCAGCCATCCCTCATAAAACTTGTCCTCCAGACCTCCCATCAGCTTCAATGCCCTTCTCTGGACCCGCTCCAGCACCTCCATGTCTTCCTTGTATCGCTGCGACCAAAACTGAACACAGGATTCAAGACGTGGCTTCACCAAGTGCCAAGCACAGGGAACAATCCCTGCCCTACTCCTGCTGGCCATGCTATTCCTGATCCAGGTCAGGATGTCATTTGGCCTTCTCAAGCACCTTGGCTCAGTGCCGGCTCACGTCCACCAGCAGCCCCAGGTCCTTTTCTGCCCAGCAGCTTTCCAGCCACACGGGATGCTGTTACCTAAGTGCAGCTGCATTTGTGGGGCCAGGAGGTAGTAAACCCACTCTCCCTACGCTTTCAGTGAGAGCCCGTTTCTCACCACAGCATCTCCAAAAGTTCCATCGTTTGCGAACACAGCAGCAATGACGGCTTTTAGAAGAAGGACACGGGCAAAAAGGCCTTGAACTTGACATTTTAGCTGCTCCACCAAATCTACCTGGTCTAACAATGAGTAGCAGGTTTGTAAACATGTAATAAAGACTGGGACAATGCAAGTGTACTAGGTGAAGTCTTCCCCTCAAAAAGAAGCTGTGCCATTTGAATGCAACAGGGAATTATTCTATGGATTTGAAAACTTTCTAAGCTTACAGGTTTCCGGTTTTAATATACTAAAACCGATCTCCTCTAACCATTCAGATAATTTTCACAAATTCGTTAAGTGTTTTTAAACATTTTATAAAGGCGTGTCTTGCAGTTACACAGAATCCACACAAATTATTAGTCATTTATAACCAGAGACTGTTTTGCCTTTTTAGAAAAACAATTCTGTTGATCTTGCAGGAGAGCACATACCTGTCCGACCAAGTCCTGCGTGACAATGAACAGCTACCCTCCCTTCCTGCAGGGCAAAAGCCATGACTTTTACCATATCGAGTATCGTAGTGAGAGATGCCACTCCATAATCCTTCCATCCGAAATTATAAAAATAAACTAAAATAAAGAGAGAGAAAGTTATTTGCTGCCGTACCTGATGCTAAATTTTCAGCACTCCAGGCAGAAGACAAGATAACTAATATGAAACGATAGTACTAAGCTGCATAACAGATCTTATAATCTGACTACATATTGTTTGCAAGGTATTCTTTTCCCATTTCCGTGCATGCTTGTTATTAAGACTCGATAAAAAGACAAAGCTAGTGAAGATTTGCCAAGCTAAAGTTCAGCTAGAATGTAAAAGCTATAGCAAAACTGAGTGATTCACATAAAAATTACTGAGCTACACATAGGTAGATGGTAACTTCGCTTTAGAAATAAAAGCACTTCCTCAGTCAAAAGCTCCTTCTTAAAGAGACGCACTTCCACCTCACTGCAATATCACAATAAAAAACCAATCAACGCATACATCCTCAAATGAAATAACCTTTTACAGCCTACAGAAGAAAATATGAATTGCATCCAAACTTGAAACTCCATTCATGTTTTATGTATCTGTGAACTCAGAAAAAAACCCAATGAAACTTTAACTACCTGTTGTCCTTCCTTTACTCTAAACACTTGACCATAATAACCCCTCACTCTACATATATATGATTCTCAGTAACGTGCTCTTCGCTCTTGATTATATTTGCCAAGGTTTGCGTTTACATCCCATTTTGTGCAGCATTTCGCACACAGCTGCTTTGGACGTGCAAGAATTCAAGTAAAAATATCTCTAAGTGCCCAAATCAATAATTAATGTGGAGCAACAGCAGGAGTGATCTTACTTCCAGCCTCCATAAAAGCTTCAGGAAGGTAGGTGAAGCCGCTTTCCTGTTCCAGCGGATTCCCACAGCTCGCATGCTCCCCAGGACGCTGAAGGTTAATTACGGTTTTTATGTCACATCTTAAGGAAGGAATAGATGAGTCAAGAATTATACGCAGCCAAAATCTCATTACCCCTTATTTTCCGAAACGCGTATTTAGTCTTAGTGTTAAAATGAAAGGATCTTTATCAAAACCCCAAATCTATGTTGAAACAAAAAATCCATCAGGAATAACATTAGTAATATCCACAGTAAATCATGACCAAATTTGTTACCTTTCAAACTGTTCAATAATGTTGTACTTTTCAATTAATTCTGTTGAGGGTCGAGCCATAGCCAGTATGTTATCTGTTATCCTGAGAAATTAGAAAAGTAGATAATAATTATGTTGTTACTAATAATTTCCTGAGTATGAATATACCAGAATAAGATAACTATGTTATATTCAAGACAGACAAAATGCCTTGCTGATTAACTAGAAATGATCTTCCCAAGAATTCTAGTGTCGTATAGCGTCAGTGAGAGATCTTTTTAAGCCGATACAGGTACAACATGTCAAAAGACCAAGACTGTTTAAATGCAAAGCCAGTGAACATATAAAAAAATTCCTTTGACTAGATTCAGATCTCTGTTTGGCCTCTTAAAGTTTGCAAAGTATTTGCTGTTACTAAAAAAAACCAAAAAACTCCAACCCCCAAAAAACTCAAACCAACACTAAGAGTAAAGACATATTACATGTGAATATTCCTGCACATGAGTATGAACACACACCTTCTGTTATTTCAGCTACAGGTACTGTTTTTACTGTAAAATTCTATCACAAACACATTTTCATTTTAAACCATTTTGATTTTTAAACAGGTTTTAAACCTTAGCAAGACCTGTCTATAACCTACAATAACTTTTTTTTTTGTAATGTGTGACAGATATGTATTTATGCTTTTGGATCTGAGACAAACTTTTCAGCAGTCGACAGAAATCTTTCATTATTTTACTGGGCTCTGTACCATGGCCATTATGGTTTACTGTTAAGTTGCAATTCTCAATCGAGCTATCACTATGTTTTTTACAAACTTAGCAGTAGTCAGTTTTTAAAGACCTCACTCTTCCCCTTTGAATTCTCTCTTTTAAGAAATACCATCCATGCAGAAGAAATGCTGCTGCTTACCAAGACGAGTAGAGCCCTTTAATGGCTTGCTCCTGGTCACTCCACCGAGCTGGGTTTTCGTACTTGCAAGCACGGCCACCACAAGCCATTGAGCATTGCATGTGACCAGGAATGACATGGCGAAGGCGCTCCCCGACTTTCGTGTATTTTGCTGTTGGACGCCTCGAACTTCCTAGAAGACAAGCAAAACCAATCTGTAAAGGAAGCTCAGGAATTCACGGCCACCTTAAAAGTATCTGTTTGACCTTAGATCGATGACAGAGTAAATACATGGAATATATATTTAAGGCTCATTTCTCAACACAGGCTTAAAGTAAGGATTCCAAGGTGGAAAATTTGGTTGCATTAGTGAAGAAGTCATTTCTTCTGATGAGGTTAGAGGTGTGTGATATCCTTTGCAAGAGGGAAAAAAAAACAGTCACGGTCCTCTTCCACCTGAAATCGAAAATACTTAAGCCATATACCTGGTGTATGTGTGAACGTGTGCTCTATTTTATTTGATCTTTGTAACTGAGCTGTTAGAGTGAAAAGCATATATTAATCCTTGAATAAGGAATCAGCAAACAAAACACAGGAAAAAACTTAAACCATAGTATTTTGTGCATATATACAGAACACGGTTAACAGAACAAAAGTATATTGATGTAATATACCAAGAAAATAACCAACAGTCTTAATGAGAAGTACTTTACTTTTTTTTTCAGGAAAAGTTGCGTCCAGCTCCTCTGGGCTCAGAGATGATACTGCCACCATAACCCGGCGAGTCGATGACGAGAGTACCTCTACAGCCGAGCTCCGGCGCCTCTGGATCACTCGAAGAAGCGGATCAGAGGAAGAATGCCTCCGACCCTGGAAAAAGTTGCTAAAGATACTGACCGCCGACCGCCTTCGGGGTGAACCCTGCATGACTGACCAGCCCCGGTGACCGTCTAGGAAAGCCGCTGAGGACGCCGAGGAGAAGCTAAACTGCTCAGTGCCGAAGTTGTGGAGAGCTGTGCATCCTTCTGCGGGCTCCAGCAGCTCGTCAGCATGGGCTGAGCTGTCTCCATAGCAACTAACAATGAAGGCGCTGCTGCCAGCGATCCTTGGGGCTGCTCCCTTCCCTATGGGAATGGAGCTTGTTTGGGACAAACCGTTCCACTGCCGGAGGAAAATAATTGCATTTTGAGCGGATCCGTTTTGAAAATGGGCTAGGAGACAAGCAAAACATTTTCCACTAACAAGGGGAGCATTTTAGTGAGTTGTAAATAACACGCCGTCAGGACTTGCTACCACGGCACAGAATACCAGATTCAAAAGAACAATCAAAAATGTAGCTGCAGGCGCTGCTTCCCGAGAAATCTGTAAGTACATTATACTCCCCCACCTCTTGGTTTAACGTTCCACAACCACCTCTCCTCCTCCACTTAGTTGCTCCAAAATGCATCATTAGCTCTGTAATAATTGGGATTACTGTGTTCCTACAGAAACGGTTCAGTACATGATGAATTGTTGACTGTTCACTCTGGACCATTCATATCTTGTAACAAAACACAATTTGTTATTCAAAACAAAAGGCTTCTTTTTTTGTCAGGGCACGGCTTTTTTATTAAGCAAAGCTGTTAGCCCTACAGACGGAGATAAAGCAGATTATGGGGAGGAGGAGGAGGAGGAGATGTACCAGTTGAGTGCTTTAGGCTTTTAAAGGTAGATATTAGGTGGCAAATTGCCTCCCACTTTGCTCCCAGCATGCTAAGAAGGAGAATGAGCTGGCCAGAAAGACTGCAACACTCCACAAAGCACAGAATTCTTCTGCAACCATGTGTAGAACAGACTATGGCAATGTTAAAATAAAAAACTTCTGTCATGCCACTGTGCATTAGGCTACACGTTAAAGACTGGGGAAATCGAGAAAGCCCGCCCGTAACTTTGTTTAAGAAGCAAATTAATCCCACTGCATTTCCTTCAAGATATAGACGGTCTTCCGGCAGCATTTCTTCCTCTACTACAAAACCAGTTACTCTAAGAGAGGAATGTGCAAAAGAGAGAAAGCTCTCTTCTGATAAAAATTCACTATGCAAAAATCTACTGTTTCTTCTTGGTGCTGAATAGGAATCGAGTGACTGAATTTTGAAGACTGCACCTCAAGTTTCAAGAACTGGTGAGGTTTGCTATAGACACTAGGCCTGAACCACCAGTAGTGATGTTGTGTGAGAAAAGGAAAACATTAAAGCTGACTCTGTTAGCTGTCACCTGAAAACTGATTATTCTAATTCAACAATCAAGCTAGTATCAAGAGGTGAGGAAACACATAAACATGCTTCTATTTTGGGGGTTGGGTGGAAGAGAAAGGCGATGAAAAAGGCTATTTCCAGGGCTACCTATATCCAAGACACATCAAAAATGTTTTCCAATTAATTGTATCACTCTTTTATCTTAATTTTTTTTCTCTTCACAGAATCTTTTCTTCAGTATATACCAAATGATAGTGAAGCCAGAAATGAGCTTCTTACTGAATCTAGCAGGATTTGCAAGTACTCACCTAAAGTAGTAAAAAATAACTACATCCTCTCAGAGTTTAAATACTTTATGAGAAGGGGGAGTTTTGCTGAAGGAATGTTCATATTTTCAGAGAGCCAGGCAGCTTCTGAACACAAAAATCCCACACTGACAACAGGGAAGCTACAGAAAAGCTCAACATAATGAACATATCGTGGTGTGATGATCAAGTAACGCAGTTTCGTTTTGTTGTAGACATTTCATTGTTATACTTGGAATAGTATTTTCGTGTTTTCTAATTTTCTATGAAAAATATTTTGTTTTCAGATTGGCTCCAAGCACTTTTTATGAGTGAGACATACAGAGAAAAAATATTACCTGAACTCATGTTTGCAAGATACTGACAGCTCTCTATCAGCGAAGAATACGGCAGTTCATTTTGCAGCAAAACTCCTGCAGCCATCGCAGTACCTGCAGAAAGAGCAACACGTTCACTGAAAATGTATAGCAGAAGGTCAAAAATGCAAAAACCAAAAAAAGCTGAGCACCTGGTGAGAAAGTTGTCCAGGGCGAGATGTGGGCAGTCAGGCCTGGGCTGCACTTTCTTTCTGGTGTGCTTAAATGTCTTTTCTTAAAATTCCACATCTTCCCTGTCTGTCTTAGCAATTAGAAGTTAGTCAGCTGTGTGGTTCAAACTCTAGGGTTTGGCTGATTACAGACTTTATAACGGCGTGTTTTATGTGGACAAAGCATTTCATGTAATGCCATCCTGATTTTCTCAAATTCTTAGAAGTAAACACACAAGCAGAGATCTCAAACTGAAATCCACAGTCCACAAGCTATACACTGCTGCTCTCTTCCCTCTGCTTCTTGTTTTCAGTCTGTGGGCAAGTTTGAAGTCACGGGTGCAACGACTCCCCTCTAACAAGACTGAACTACAGAAACATTACGGAAAAGACAAGCTTGGGTTCCAAATTCTCCAAAACCAGTATCAGGCTACAGGTACATAAAAAGTGGTTTACAAGGCAGATTTGCTTAAAAAGAGAAGAGAAACAATGTGGGAGTTAGGTGGTGTAAGAGTCCTGTGCTGTGTGTAAGCATGGTGTTAACTGCTTGCTGTTCATCGTCTGCCTTTTATCTTTAATTCTGCGTAACTGCTTTTTAAAGTAAATATTTAAACAGATTCCAATAGAATTCAATTCGTTTAGGTCTTATACCATGTACTTGAATATATTACTCTTCCTACAATGCTAGTGGATTTTATTCCACAAAGTGTAGTCCTGTCCTTTTCAAGATGCTTGAAGGTGGGAATGGAACACACATACACATTAAGAATCCTTTAATACTGCCCAATCAGTTGCCTCAAAAAGATAAGAATTACATTTGTCTGTAAAAGCCAGAAGGCCTTTTGAACCTTCAGTGATGCTCAGAAACACATTTCTAAATTAATAAGGATATGAAATAAGATGGAACTTAATGAAGATTGAAGAGCTATCTGGAGTATTTTCTACTCAGCTACCTGACCTCCTCATTTTGTACTTTTAAAAGGCAAACTTTTAATAAACAGGCAGGAATACTCGCATATATGCATTCTATCTGGAGAAGCCCTAAAACCTGTTTTATTTCCCTATGGACTTTGAAATTAGTAAGGCTTTCATGATCAGAGGAAACTCCATAGTGAGGAAATAATGTTCTTTTACCCCCAGAAATTCCTTTTAGAGCTAGGAAGAGTCGATTTGACAAAAATTGTTGGTTTCTACTTCTCAGAAAGTTCTCAACACAACAGCATTTGATAAAGACATGTCTCACCATACAGACAGTAGAATCACCACCAGTATGACTTAGTTTTCCTATTTCCTTGTAGAAAAAAAAATGTGATGAAGTAGAGATATTTCTATAAATTAAAACTTCTCCTTTTTAAAAAAAAGAAAGAAGAATACAGGCTGACAAGCGCTCTTAACTCAGAGAGAGACGGAGATTAATGCAAAAGATAACACACCTCCAGTATTACAAAGCGTTAGCAAGACTGTTCCAAACTACAGAAGTTAACAACGCATTTATTTGCTGTGTAACAAATTACACCTCCCTCAGTTTTATTTCAGAAGATAGCCCAAATCCGTATTTCCTGTTCTGTATAACCAGGCAGTTTCAACCGACTTAAATGTCTGCATGCCTTTCAGTCTGCTAAATTTACTTCCTGGCGAGTGTTCTAAATCACACAGTGCAAGTGACATGAGCAATTGCCTTGTACTGGTTTCTGAAAAGAAAGTTAAGATTGTGACAAATCACAGAGCTACACTGCACCCCCTCAGATATGTCTGAATTCGGGGAAAGAAGTAGTATTTCTGTGTTGAGGTTACTACAGAGGGGCATTACATTCCTGTCCAGATAAAAAGAGTGTCCGAAGTAAAAAAACAGTGCTTGGGTTTAAAAAAAATAAAAAATAAAATAAATAAATTCCTGATTCTTCTACGTACTGGCTAATTTTAGTTTTTAAAAGGTCCTCTTCAGCATTTTGTTCGTCACAAGAACAGTTGATAGATGCCAGAGGCAAAAAAAAAGGCCTGGAGCATCATTCCAGGTCATGGTCCTCATTAGCTGCCTCAGGGTACAGTCACATGCCCCACAGCAATCACGATCCCACCTTAATCAGATCCGCTCCCTTAGCTCTGACATGCATTCCTATCGCCATGACAGCAAAGAACCCGGCCCTCTAATCCCCGTTTTCCAATTCAAGAAACGGGAATGGCATCTCAGGTGATGTTCCACCTCTTGACATTTTATCATGAGAGGCGATGTCACCAAGTGTGTGCAAACAGCACAGGTAATGAAACCCAACCACAGCAAAAATAAGGTCTGTGCTGGTGGTCTGACTGAAGCAGATGGCACACTGCCCAAGGAAACAGGGGTCTCTCGAAATGACCATGTGCCATCAGAAGCCAAGCACTGAGGAAGACACCTAGGGAGGTTCCCTCCAGGGGCGGATTTTATACTTGTTTTGATGTCTGTAAGTAATTCTGAGATGGGCTTTATTTTCCTACTTTTGAGCAGACCAAATCCTAACCTAAAGGACGCAATATTTTTTGTTTCCTGCACCATTGATTCACTCGTTGGTAACACGAAAGCTGTCGAGCCCTACTCATTGCCTCACACATGCAGAGGGGACTTTTTGGGGGGAGTAAATAGTATGGGCACGCTGCACTCTCACAGGTGAGGTCACCCTGTGCTTCCACTTTCTTTTAGGGAGTGAAGCAGCCTCTTCTCCTCATCCTCTGGAATCGAAGTATGACCCTCTGTAAAGTTACAGGTCCAGTAGTAAAGCACCACACAGCAAGCAGGACAACTGGGAGATCAGGGATTCCCAACAGAGCAAGTTCTACTGCTAACTGGTGGGAAGACACATAAAGGAAGAACCTAAAGAAGGGAGACATACCAGCAG